TAGACCTGGTTTTACTGACACTTTCTTGGGCAGCACTTATGCTAGTAAGTGTATATCCAGTAATGTTGCTCACTTTTTATTTTCATGTTTTTGAAAAATTGCATTTTATGTGATAGTTTCATCATCAGACCTATGAAGATATAGATAAACATGGAAAGTACGACCTTTTACGTTCAACAAGACACTTTGGTGGAATGGCTTGGTATTTTGTAAATAAGAAAACGATTGATGGTTTACTGATTGACCAGATTCAGAGAGATTTGTAAGTATGATCTTAGTAAGTAAAAGAAATTCTTATTACTGTAATATTAAGTCCGTATTTCAGCTGTTATTTTTCCAGTGATAACAGTGTACTGTCCAGTGATAAGTAGCTTTCACTTACCTCAATTTGTTTATGGGTTTGTTCTTTCAGCACAGACCAGGTTTCTGTCTTTGCTTTTGTGTTAATGTAAACAGAGCTAGGTTCTTTGGAAGGGTAGGTGGCTTTGGATCTGTACTTACACCCTGGATATCGACTCATCCCTGGCCTCGCCAGTGCTGGAAATGTAAGGAGGGGGTGGTGTGCTTGTTTTCTGGTAGGACTATTTCTAGGGCTTTTCAGTAAAAGTCGTCATTTATGAAAATATTCTTGTTTTTTATAGCCCTTGCTTTTGCCAAGATTTTTAAGGCATCAAAAAGGTTACAGTTTTTTTCAAAGTTGCATGAAACAGACTCTCTATTGTATTTTAGCATGCAGGCTGGTGTGCTCCCAGCCTTCTAGCTGAAATAATAGTGTACTTTACAACTTGTGATAAAACTGAAGAAAAAACTGTTTTTGAGGATCTTTTTATTGATTGAGTTAGGCCAAAATGTCTGGAAAACAGTCCAGCATGGTCGTAGTTAGAAAGTCAACTTTCTACAAAAAGCCCTTGCTTGACTCAAAGTGTAAACTGCAAGAGGGTTTAGCGATTATCGCCACCTTCAGAATGGAAGGAGTTTTGACTCAGAGTATCCACCATATAATCTGAACCATTCACACAAAGGAAAGGCATTTGTAACTAGAAGGTTCCATAGGCATTGTCTAAGAAATACAGCCCATATTTGGAAACAGCATCATTTCTCATAGAAACAGCCTTCCTAATGGTAGATGATCTCCAGCCAGCCCGTCACCAGCATGTTGGTGGAATCCAGGCCCGAGGGCAGGAACTGCATCCCACATGAGCAGGGGGATGGGCAGGAGGCTGGCTGGTGGGCATGAGGGGGCTCACAAGCGACTGCCTTCAGGTGCATCAGCATTGACATCACCTGTGAGTGAATTTTCTTGAAGTTTCTCAAATGTAATCATTCCAAAATGATTTTATTATAAAATTATCATTTAGGGGGGGGTAAGAAATTAGAGTAACACAGAAATGTGTGACTTTGAACATTAAAGTTCTTTATCGAGGTATACTAATGTGATAATATAGTAGTATTTGTTATGTCATGTAAGCTTTACATCTGCGGCAGTTTATTTGCACACTGGGAGGGAGTTTTGAGTCCTGAGTGAGCCTTTCCGACGCTGCATAAGTAAAATCGTTCCTGTGGTAATTCTGAGCTGACAGCTTGCTGCAAATCCCAGGTTAGACAGGAGAGGGTGCGTGTCCTCACTGAGTGGAGCCCAGGTAGAACTGGCATTCTGCACACATTTCAGACTCAAGTCACACTGTTGGGTTTGAATTGAGTCTTAAAATCTTTTTGAACATGTATATTTATTTGTTCTTGGGCTGGGTGTGGAGCTAAATTGTTCTGTGAGATGCAGGCATTATATTTTTGCATGACTGTAATGAACCTGTAAACACGATTCTGATATATAGAAACCCAATTTAGCTCTTTATGGGGCCACATGCCTAAGTTCTAAAGGGAATTTTATCTTTGATTTGAGAAGATATTTTGTTGCCACGTTTATTGGACTTGGTTAGATTATAACAAGCACAAGAGATTTAAAATGAACATTTTGAAATAGTTTTCCCCTGGAAAGTTTTACCACCTGAGCAGGTCTGGTTGCTTAGTTCCCTCCAGGGGAGCCTTTAGGGTAGATGGACCCGGGATCAGCCCAGAGCCTTCTCTAAGGTCACCAATGGCTTGAGGAATTATTTAGCCATGCTCCGATATCCCCCAGCTCAGGTAATAGGAAATTAGGGAAGGGCGAAGAATGACAGCTGGGGAGCACTCCACCCCACAACTGGAAGCCTATAGACTCACTAAGTGTACATAGCAGAACCTCAAAAGAACAAGCGTTTTAGAAGGGTTATTATTACATACCCCCTTAGCTTTGAGGTGGCAATGGGTCGGAAAGTGTTAATATGTGAGAAGATAGCGATTGGTGGTTTGGGGAAGGGTAGGGAAGTTTTAATGTTGATAAAAACTGTTTATAGGTTTCTAAAAATGTACGTATAAACCAGACTTGAATTCTTGTTCTGGCTTCATCATGCAGTTGTGTGACGCTAAAGTTAGATTACTGAAATAGAACCTGGCTTTCCTTCTGTCTGATGTGCATAATTTCAAGTTTGCTTCACTAGAATGCTAATTTTTCCTAATGGGTTCCTGTGACTAGACAGGTGGCCCAGGTGTCTTTCCTTGGACTCCTAGGAGGTTCTTGTAGAGGCATTTACCCACTAGTCTCGATGAAAATTTGTTAGATGTCATTGCTAATCTTAAAGGACAGTGGCTCTGAGCATACCCATGACTGGCAGCCTCTGGCTTATGTGGGATGAAGGTACGTTCCTGCCCTGAGTTGGGTGACATTATCTGCTGGTGACGTGGGCTGGCCTGGATATCATCTACCATTAGGAAGGCTTTCTATGAGAAATGATGCTCTAGTTTAAAAAGAATACAGCCACTTGTAGAATACATTCACTTTCATAAACTGGGCACTGCCTATGACCACTCCTGCCTTACCTACCTCAGAGTTGGTATGAAGCCTAAATTAACCAATTTCCCTGAAAATACATTTGAAAATATAAAACTGAAGACTTAAAAAAAAAAATTTCTGGCCCAAGATAATTTGGTTTTAAATTGGCACACCTTTCTATAGAATTGTGAAGCAAAAGAAGAAAACAGTAAACCCTTCTAACAGAAAACCCTTTCACTCTAGAGTGGATGATGCCGCCAGCTTGGTCCAGCTGTATCACATCCTCCATCCAGACAGCAAGTCAGCTCAGGAGGCCAAGGAGCAGGCTGCTGAGGGATTGCATTTAATTAAGGTACAGAGATTGTCTTCCATGTTGGCTGTTGTGTGGTGATAATTGGGTTGGGGAGAATTCTGACGTAGGTCATATTTAATGTTAACCAAACAGACCTGTGGTCTTGAAACAGAGATTAGAGCCCCCATATTTCTTCAGCCTGGATAAGGGGTGGGGAGCTTCAGCTGGAGTCCAAGCAATTCAGATAGTGGGGCAGCAGCCCCTTGTTCTTTGGAGTACTGGCATCTGAGGTGATGAAGTCACTAGCTGGGCATGGTGGAGGACTAGGTGGCACATGTCCCCAGTGCAACTTCCTGGCCTTCAATGTGGTCACATTCTTGTTTAGGTGTCCAAAAAGAGAGAGGGTGGTTCTTGTATATTACCAAGACTTAGGTGCATTATTTTGAAATGCATACTTCAAAACCATGGGCTTCCACAGATTTCTCTGTAAATGTTAAGAGTTGAGATCTTTTTTTCAGGAAGGGAAGGGGAGACCACTGTATAATTTTCGTGTCTTATGCTGAGGCTACACATGGTTTTGTGGATCGGACTTCTATCCCAGTATTATCTTATACATCTGCAAAGCAATTATAAAGCTTACTAAGGATAAGAACGACCAGTGATGACACCTTAGGAGGAGTAGAGAGAAACTACAGCACTACTATTGATAAAAAGCAAAATGCTTTTGGAGAAAATATTCTTTAAAGTGAAAAATTAGTTTGCTAATTTGCATCCTCCAGCTTTCTTTTGCTCTAGCAGGAGGTGCAGATGTCAGGTTTTCTTAATTTTTTCTGAAAGATGGCAGCCATATTCGGCTACTTCTGGTGTTTAGAATTAGTATTGCAGGAACTGTGCTGGATATTGTTTTTCTATTCCTGTAGTATGCCTATTGCTTTATAATCAGAAAAAAAAACTGTGAAACTTGGAAGACTTTTAAACTGATACTTTTCTTTGCTATTACAGAAATGTTAATGATGTAGCAAAACTGAAAATTTTATAAGCAGTATATGTTCTGCTTTAAAACCTTTTTTTAATTTAAACAGGTCTTTGCAAAAACAGAAGCACAGAAGGGAGCATATATAGAATTAACACTGCAAGCTTATCAAGAAGCATTCATTAGCCATTCTGCAGCTTCCTGAAAATACTTAAATAAATTTCACTTTACTAAATACTGACTAGCTTTCTCTGTTAATATTGATTGAGTTGAGTGTTTAAAAATGTTAAAAAGTACTGGTTTGGAGTTCCCTATAAAATCTTTTTGTTTTTTAAGTTCCAAAATAGTGCCCCTAACAGAAATACAAAGAAAAACTTGTTACCCAACTCACTTTCCCAGGCCACACGGGGATAACTGAGAAGTATATTCGAGTGCCTGGACATTAATTTCTCTAACCACATCAGGTAAGTACAGTGTAAGAAGAAAAAAGGGCTGTGCCTTCCCGTGTTACCAAAGAGGGCAAGCTGTAATTTACACAGAGCCCAGCTTAATGAAGTCAGAGGAGCTGGGGCTCAGACCCAGGGTCCAGAAATAGGTAGCTACCAGACAAAATCAGAACAAGGCATAAGCACCCAGCCACATAGACTGAGGGGAATAATGCAATGAAATTAAGAAAAAAGGTTAACAAAATTACAGCCTAGATATTTGGTTCTAAGAAAAATGTGGTTGATGATATGTGAAAATATGATTTAGTGATGCAAAGAAAAGAATGTGGGCTGATCTGTAGGGTGAGGTGTAGTTTTGGCTCAGCTTTCTAAAACTAGAAGCCTATTTTCATTGTTTAGAAAGGAAACGAAGCATCTTCATTAATTCAAAAGATTTTATGACATATGGTCCAATGACAGTATGGAAAAAAAAAATCAAAGCCCATGTGTTTTAGTTAACAAGGAAACAGTGATTTAGATGCTGCTCATAAACTCCTCCTAAGATGAGGAGGGTACTGCGTTCCCAGTAGGCCACAGCATTTACATATAAAAAAATCTAAGGAGTTTCTGAGTCCAAAGCACTGTGGTCAGGGTGACGATCAATACCTGTCCATAATGATCTGTTTAGTCGGATAAATGCGAAACATTACATTCAGTCATCCAAAATATCTTCATCCAGGTTGATATCTGTTGTGTCAATATCTTCTAATTCCAAATTATCCAAATCTACTTCTAGTTCGAGTAAGCTCTACAAAGGAAAGGAAGAGGGTGAGTCATAGAGTACTATGTTTTAAGAAAAGTTACCTCTGATTCATGATCCAAAGAGAACTAACACAATACAGGCATACCTCAGAGATATTGTGGGTTAAGTTCCAGACCATCCCAATAAAGTGAACAGAATAGCTCAGTAAAGCAAGTCACACCAATTTTTTGGTTTCCTAGCGCATATAAAAGTTGTGTTTACACTAGACTGTAGCCTGTTAAATGTGGAATAGCATTATGTCTAAAAAAACCTACATATCTTAGTTAAAAAACACTTCACTGCTAAAAAATGCTAACTATCATCTGAGCCTTCAGCGAGTCATAATCTTGCTGGTTGGCTGGGGGTGGGTATTTTCCAGTTTGTAAAAAAAATGCAATATCTGTGAAGTGCAATAAAGCGAAGCACAATAATATGAGGTAAGCCTGTAGTCTGACAAAAAGTGCATCTCTCCATTTCAAAGCCCCTGCTCGGAAACTGATTATGTCACAAAATACAGAGGCCTGCACATCCTGCAGACACAGGGAGGGAGGGAAAGGGTAAGACTGGCTTTCCAGTGGGAAGTTTGAGGGTGACGGCTGTACCTTTTCTTCTTTGTTGGCTGTGTGGGAGGCCATGATAACCGGAGTAGGAGAATCAGGTTTCTCATCAAGTTCCTGAAAGCCCAAGTGGAGATACATAGAAAGACAAAGCATTTGTTCAGGAATTTAAAGCTTTCCCCAAGGCAAGGCTGATCAGGACTGGGAACTGGGAGATGGTACTTAAAATCAACAAATCTCCACCAGATTGATTACCTCATGTAATAAGTATTCTACTCACCTGCTGAGTTGCAGATCTTGAGGGCTGAAAGCCTTTTGCCTCTTCCATAACATTTCTTTCTTCATTTGGCTATTAGAGAATAAAACAGTAATGAAATGAAATATTTTGAAGTCATAATTCCTCTATGAATCTGGTCTAAATCCCAGACCTTAGCTCTTAATCCAATAATGTATGTATACTGTTCAAAAGCTTGTCATGAATGCACCGCCGCCCTGCAGCCACACTAAGTGAGGCCTGGCACCAGGCCACGCACCGTGACAAGGGGGTATTGTCTGGCTGGCCACAGATCAGCCTGTGTGTTGTTCACCCATTCTTCCACAACAAAGGCTTCCTTTAGTCCAGGGAAAAGGTTTTCATACTCCGTTGGATCAGCAAGGGATTCTGCTGCTTTCTGATTGACTTTTGAGAGATTTTCTCGCCAGAGTTTCACCACCCTAGTACAGATATGGAACCAAAGGGAGACTGAATAAGTGTGCTGTTTTTATTTGAAACGTTTCTTCCTAAAATTAAAAGTCTGTACCTTGAAACCTGACTGGGTAAGTAAGTCCGGGCCAGGAAGGCAGCTTCTGGAAGCCGTCCAGTTCTAATCAAGAGCTCCAGGCAAGCATCAAGCCTAAAAGTGAAAAAGGAGAGAGGCACTGTGTCCAAGAATAAATGCTGTTAACACTGGCACTTACCACATTAAAGAAATGTGGACTTAGTGTTGCAGAGTCAGCATTCCCTCCCCAGCTCCCACACAGACACCTCATTTCTGTCACTGAGCCATCAACTTGTCACCACCAGTGTATTACATAATCAATAGGCTCCAGGAGTGTGAAGGATAAGACAGCTTTTGGGACCATTTTCAACCTCTAACTTGTTTTAACTCCTAAGAAGAATCCAAAGGGGCTTTTCCGGACGAGTGAAGGCAGCATAGATGGGCACCTTTTAAAAGCCTCAGGATCCATGGCAACAGAAACAGGTTCGCCAGTGGGAACACCGAGGGCAGTGTCTCCAGCATGGGCTGTGCTGGACAGTCCAGGGGTGTCCGCTAGGAAATACCTGAGTGTCCGCTTTGGGTTTTCTTTTGATTTTTTTCTTTGTAAGTTTGATAAAGAGGATAAAGTATTTTACAATTCAGAATTTTTTGAATTTTAGAAAGGTAACACTTATCATCAGCATCAAATAAAACCATTAATATTATGCATTAACAAACAATGTCCTGCAATAACACATAAATACTAAATGCGATAAAAACATACCAAGTGGCAGAAAACGAATAGTACTTCAGGTCAGGTTTTGCCCTCAAGTTATAAAAAATCTACTTTCAGAATATTTTTGGATTTCAAATTATAGGTAAGAAATGGTGGACCTATTCTTACAAGGTATATAAGTTTATAAATATGTATGATATATACATACATAATATAAAAAATGACAAATATAAATACATATATTGGGTATATCCAAAGTTTTTTTTTTTTTTTTTTTAAGATTTTTATTGGGGAATTGGGGGAAGGGGAACAGACAAGTTGCTATACTTTTGTTCTTCAGTCTAGTTGTGGAGGACGTTGCTTCACTGGCCCAAGTTGGCACCATCATTGCGCTTTTTCCCGGGTGAGGCAGATCAGTCGCCGGCTTCTGGATGGCCGCTCACGGCGGCTGCTGGCCGCTCACGCTGGCTGCTGGCTACACACGGTAGCCCATGGCAACCCACTGCAGCAGGGGCTGCAGCCTACGCTGTCGCCGGCGACTCAGGGCAGCCCAGCTCCAGGTTGAGCTGTTGTTCAGCATCTTAGCTGTGGAGGGCAGTGTCACTGGCCCTCATATGTGGGATCCGAACCGGGGCCCTCTGGCGTCCCAAGCCAGTTCTTAACCATCGCGCCACTCGGCCGGCCCAGGGTATATCCAAAGTTTTTGTGATAAAGTGTGGGGTTTAGAAAGCATCTAGGGCAAGATTAATGAATACTTTTGAGTTTTATTTCATAACATGGTCAACTAAAGCTGAAATGATTTGGTTTGTACTAACAGAACTTTTAACATTTTTATGCTTTATAGTTGCGTGCAAATCTAAAAGTAACTGGCATCCTCATGCCCTTTTATTCTTGCCATGAACAGATCAGAATTATCCAATTTGGGTAAAATCACCTGCCATTCAGGTACCACCACCATCACCTTCTGCCATCATGAGGCAGGGCTATTGAGAAATTTCTCCCACTTGAGCCTCCCTGGACTGCTAATTTTCCTCAAATATTCAGACCAGATGTGCTAAGAGCATCCTTTACTGAAGGTGAGTGCCACCTGAGAAGAAGCTAAAAGCAAATCATTTCCCTCTCAAACTAAAAATACCCCGCTGACACAGAAACCCCAGTACTTAAGGTAGCACTGTCCTCTGACTGCCCCCACTGGCAACGCCATTCGGCCAGGCATTAGTTCAAACTCTAGGATTCATTCTTCACATTCCTCCAAAAACCTCCCTCAAAGTCAATGCAGAAGTAAGTGCTTTTAATTTCCATGCCCACCTCTTAGAGCCTGGATTAATACTTACTTGCCCTGTAAGAAGTAGCTCATGAATGCCACATTATTCTTGCCATCTCTCTCCGCACCCTCTGCTAGCTTGTTCACCATACTAGCATTTCCAGAGGCAGTGGCCAAAAGCAACAGACCCCCATAATCCTGTGCGTGGTGCAGGCACTCCTGGGCTAGGCCAAATTGACATTTACTAATGGCAAGTTCAGCAAGTTGTTTCCACTTCTGCTCTGACTGTACGAAAGAGTTTCCAAGTTAAAATATTTTTGGAAATATATGAATTTCTAACAACATTATTCTATTACCTGAATATTACTATGCTGACAATGGGAGACATACATACAGAGGGTGCCAAAAAAATGTATACATATTTTAAGAAACGAAAAACTATCAAAATTGTAATACCCAATATATACTAATAACAAAAGATGAATACCAGTCACATTTGACATCTGCAATTACAAGAGGTGCTCAAAGGGGTTACCATCAGCGTCCAGACACTTCTGATTATGGTGAACTACTGCTTGAGCAACGTTGACCAAAGTGTCCACTTGTGTACATTTTTTTTGCACCCCCAGTAATATATATATATTGAGCTGTACTTGTTAAGCTGGTTCTATCAATCAAAACAAAATGGAATGACAAAATGTATAAAATGGAAATTATTCACATATACAAAATTAATTCAAACACAAATCAATTTTAACGATGCATGAATAAACAACCCATTATATTTTTATTTTGTAATTATAGCAAAAATAAGTTAAAACCATCTAATGGGAGTTTTAAGGTAATTAGATTGCCATATTTTAACGAGTGATTTAATACCATTTTTTGAAAGATAAGAAAATTGTTTTATGTCCTTAAATATTTAACAGTAATAAATATTATCTGTCATTTGTAGCTTCTCAGAAATCAAATAAAATGCTGCATATTTGGATGATCTTAACTTCCAAAATGTCAGAACCCTTCTGTAAAACCACTGTCTTTCTCACTAGTTTGGAATACTGGCAAATGACCACTACATCTGCACTCTTAGAGCTCCCAGACAAGTTTATCTACTATCTTACAGCTTTCTTTCTCCTCCAAAATAGATCTCCTGTGAGATGGGAAAACACTTTTTCTTAAATTAGAATGCTAAGAATATCTCCACTATAACCCATTTAATTTATGCAAAGATTAACATAATGCATTCTTTAACAAGACCAAAGAGAGGCAATAAACTCACCAAAATGAGTCACTAATTTGCATTTCAGAAAACTTTAATACGACTTACAAGTACACTAAACACATAGAAGAACCTGTTTACCTTTCTATCAGTTAGTACATACCTCTGCTTCCATTGCTAATTGGTATGCAATTTTTAGTTCTCCAAGCTGAAGAGCAAGTTCAAAGCGATGCTCAGGATCTGTAGATACTGTAAGAGCTTGCTGCTTGAAGCCCTAAACAGATTAAAAAATACATATGTGTGTGTGTTTGTACATAAAAATGTGTGTAGTCTGTATATAAGAGTGTACACACATGCACACAGCAAATCATTTCCCTCCCAAACTAAAAATACCCTGACATAGAAACTCCATTACTCAAATATAAGTTAATATAAAACAGAATATTCTAATGAGAAGATAGAGGAAAATTAAGGAGTCATTAACTGATAAGAATCCCAGCAGACAAAATTCAGTCACACAATGCCTACTGTTTTCTAAGCAATGGAAGCTCACCAATGCTAGACAAAATCAAGTAAAACAACTAGTAAAATTAGAAACGTGAAAGTAAACAGAAATGTCAAAAAGAAGGATTTTAGAAAGTTGAACAGGAGTCATTTAAAAAAAAAGACAGTGGTGTCGACCGAGCTGTTCATAATCTCCCCACTAAACTGGGCCTCACAGCATCTAGTCCAGTCCCTCAAAGAAAAGGAAGTCAAATGTAAAACCTTCCGATTTCCCACCATTTGTAGGTCGTTTAGCAAACATTTGCTTTCGGGTCCTGACTGGGTGTCATACCTGTGCCTTTACTGTTGGTCTCATGCCCAGTTTATTCATCAGCAAGTATTCCTTCCCATGCTCCACTACTCCAGAGTCATCAAAAACAGGCTTTAAACCAACTACAGTAATTTCTAAATTAGCTTCTCTCCCAAGACAAACAGTGCTGGTGACGTCTGCCTGACAGGCAACTTCTTCAGCTCTAGGGACGTGGTGTGTTAGACAAAAAGCTCAGACTGCGGGAGGATGCTCAGTTACGGGGTGGTCAGGACGGAGAAGCTGGACGTACTTCCAAGTTCTGTCCAGCGGGATCTTCAGGATGGCCGCACCATCACGTTTCAACAAGCTGCCCCTCCCTCCCCCCGTCATCCGTGAGCACAATGTAAACAAGGCATTCTGAATAGTCTGTGTCACTCCTTTCTTCCCTGGCACTGATGTAGACAATATAAAATCTAAGAGTGGAGGATGGGAGATCTGTGAAACTAGTCAGATATAGGTAAGGACAAAGCAGACGAAATTAGGTGGAGTAAATACACTTATTTCCGTTTTCCTCCAAATCCCCACTGAAAAGACACTAAAGAGATTCTTATTTTCAGACATACACCCCCAAGGACACACAGAAAGGCAGAGGAGACATTAGTAGCAAAATTGTGGAAGCTGGAAAAGTGGTGGAGTATGAACGTTCAGTTAAAACACTAGAGAAAACTAATCTGGAATCAGGAGTGAAAACAGCATAGAAACAACTTGATTCCCACCTCAGAATCCCCAAAGGTGTGTTGAGAAGAGTAGGGTTAAAAAAAACCCAAATAAATGAAACTGCCTGGAAATCTGCATAAGAAGCAGTTAGATACCCAGGCACCCGCTCCTCTCCCTCACACCCCTCGACACCCACAGAAGACAGGTTTATTCTTTGGAGAGGGCAACTAGAGGGCCCCTGGTCGCAGGGACACCTTGCACACCTGGAGGACAGAGTACTGAGCACCCACAGGAAAATAGGAGATTCTGAGAATGGATGTGAGACTAAGTGAAATCCTAAATACTGAGGCACCAAGCTGTTTTCTCCTTAGTGCTCAAGAGTGATGGTAATTGGGGGAGCTTCTCTAAACTTTAACCAGCCCAAGGGTTATGACTTAATAAACTAAAATGCCAATGAGGACTATATGCCAGTTAGAACAGCGCCTGGTACAATGTGAGGTGCTCAGTAAATTCATTAAATGAATAAATGAAGTTATTAAACCCATTAAATGAAGATACCGACATTGAGGTTCCCAGTCACGTCACATATTGTAAGTCCACACACAACAAACCTACACCTTTTGATCTGCTGCTTAGACCTCCACTCTTAAATGAGTGCCCAGGGATCACCAGATACCTGAGCAAAATCTCGAACAGGAAACAGATCAAAATGAACCAATAACAGCAACTTGACAGAAGCCTACAATGTAGGGGGAAAACTTTAAAACAGCAACAAAAAACTATCATCCCTATCTTCAGAGAAAGATGAGAAACTTTTACCCATAAACAAGATTTTAAAAGTCCAAGAATAACAAAATGAGAAAACCAGTGCAGGAGGTCCAACATTTGAATAACAATTCCACAGAGAGAGACTACAGAAAACGAAGGAAGGAAATCATCAGAGAAAGAATTTTTAAAAACTCAAAAATGAAGGACATCAGTTTCCAATTAAAAGAGTTCATCTAGTGCCCAGCGGAATGAATTATATTTGACCCCTTTCAAGGCCCATCATCATATCCCAGAACAACAGGGACAAGATCCAGAAGAGAGAAAAAAACAGATTAGGCACCAAGAATCAGGAATATAAATGGCTTTAGACTTGAACAATAACTAGAAGCTAGAAGGCAACAGAACAATGTCTTTAAATTCTGAGAGAAAATTACCTGGAACCCAGAATTCTGTATCCAGTTAAATGGTCATACATGTTTTAGTGTAGAACAGCGGCACTTTCCAGGTAGTCAAGATCACAAAAAAACTACTTCCCGTTAATAACCCTTATCTCAGGAAACTACTGAAGAACATGCTCCAGCCAAATGAGGGAGTCAACCAGGGGAGACGGGATACAGGAAACAATAGCTTCAACTCAAGAAAGGCAAAGGGGGAGCCCCAATGTGATGGTGAGGGAGGGATATCCATGATGAGAGCGAAAAACCCAGTTCAGACTAAAGCAGACTAAACACACTGAAAGGAGATTTCAAGGAAATCCGGAGAACAAGCAGAATAGGGAGAATAGCCATAATTGCATACAAAATAAGCAAAGTTTAAAAAAAGACAATTATTAACTCCAGGAAAAACAAACGGCAAGAAGGGAAAGCTATGATACACATGGGTCAGTGGTGAACAGTGTTTACAGAGCCACAGTGATGTAAACCATCGAATGCTGATCTAATCAAAATTATGATATGGCTATATTGGGAGGATAAGGAATAGGAAAGTGGCAGGTATGTAGTAGAGGCAGGGGGTGGAAGATCAATCCTCATCTATGGAGTGGGAAGTCACAAGGAATGCCTAAAGCTGAGAAATAGCAATATAAGCATGTCATTTAGAATGTGGAAATAAATACCAACAGAGACAGCTAAAAAGAATTAAAAGTGATTACCTCTAGGGTGTAGAAATGAGAGAGGGAAGGGAGGACTGTTTTTTCCTTAAGCCTTTTAAAACTTTATGCTTCATGCACATGTAACTTTGATTTAAAAACACCACATTAAGAAAAACATATAATACTAATGGTAAATTTTATGTTACGTGTATTTTACCAAAAACCAAATGAACAAACAAAGCTAGCTAGGATGGAGACAAAAATGCAGCACACACAGAAATGAAACTATTGATAGAATGGAAAAGGTGTCGACAGAAAGGGAAGACTGACAGTCATCTCCAACATTTCAATGGGGGGCCAAGGACAGCGGTACTGAGCAAGGAGAAGAGTAACTAGTGACGTCACTTTACAAGACACACCACCGCCATAAGGAAATCGGTGACAATTACGCAATTAAGTTCTTCAAATTCATACTAACATTCTTTCAAATTGCTGGTTTATAAAAACACACAAAAATAAGATAAACAAACAAAACACCCTTACTTGCTTTTCCAAAAAGTGTGCAACTCTGGTCCTCTGTTCTTTCGGAATGGTAGGAAGGACCTTATCAGCCATGCTAAAGTCCCTCCGCATGACAGCCGTCTGGTATTCCAACACTGAAACCAGCAGGGAGTAGCTGACGATGTTCAGTTCTTTATCCCCCAGGTAAAGCCTGTTGTCTTTAGGAATATAGCCCAGGAGATACATTGTCCTGTATTAGAAACAGAAACTAATTTAGAAGTAAGCTCAAATCAGTAGGTAATCAATCAACCAATCAATCTCTCTCTCTCTTTTTCTGCCTCTTGATCAAAATGTTTCCATTTGATAACTACAATATTGCATCAGGGATAAAGAAGACAGTCTGGGGAATATAATCAATAATGTTGTAAATATTTTTTAGGGGGCCAGATGGTCTCATGTCTTGTCAGGGAGACCACTTTATAGACGGTGTAGAGGCCTAACCACTGCACTGTACATCTGAAGCTGCCGTTGAATAATATGTCAACTATAATTTAATACATATATAGTCATGGGATGTGGAGTATAGTGTGGGAATGGAGTCAATGGAATTGTAATAGATGTGTATGATATCAGGGGTGGAGGGGCAGTGGATGGGGGGGGGGGGTTGTCACTTTGTGAGGGGTGAAAAGGATAACTAGTGCATTGTTTTGTACACCTGAAACTAATAATAATTTTAAAAAAAGGGAAGAAAAAAAATGTTTCCATTTGATTGATGCAATTTTAGTTAGCAATTGCCAACCTACTAAACCTATAACACTGAAAAATCAGGCCTATCATTCCTACAAGCCAGCAATAGGTTTTGTTTAAAAAGTATACTTTTAAATTTAGGATGCTTAAGACAAAAGCAAAATGATACTCAGTTACCTGTCCAAGTGGGCAATGGTGACTATTTCTCCTCCGACATAATAATTTAATCTGTTCACAGAACTTGTGTAAATGAAGCAGTCGCCTACCCACAGCCCTGTTTTCACAATTTCCTGAATCTCACCAAGAACCTACAAGAAGAAAAAGTCTATCATTAATTTTATGCAGCATTGGAAATCTTGCCAATAACAAAAAAACAATATAATTGAGGGTGATAAGGTAGAATGAATATAAGGCAGGATGATAAGGAATGCAAAGCAAAATCCTATTTCAAGAAAGAAAAGTCTATTCTTGGAATTTCTATCTTGTTTCTTCATTTAAGAACAGAATCACAGATGACTTTTTATAATGCAAAATCTTATTTACATTTATTACATTATGTCAAAGCTGTGATCTAAAAAAGTGTTTATCTAAACTCCTAGCACACATGAAACTGGCATAAGTGTTTCATAAAACCTTCCAGGACATCTCCACAATGAATGATTTATTTTTACCATCTGAAAGCTCATTTAAGTCACTCTGGCCAAATTGTCTTAAGATCAAAACACCTTCTAATTTCCTTACTGAAAGATATCAGAGTTAGTCTAAGGAGTTCCTGAAATCAAAGCACAAATTTCTTTTAAACATACTTTCACACCTGATCTTTGAGCCATGATTTTAATTTTCACATTTTACCATAATTCCTTAAATGCTTAGTTTCCTAAACCTAGTTTATAATAAAATGTTAAAATGACTGATGTTCTGTTATAAGAATATAAATTAGTAAAAACAAAGCTAAAGTTGTGCTGATGTAATTACCTCAAAGGCATCTTCAATGCCATCTTCAGTTACTCCCTCATGCGTTTCCTGGGCAGCCAAGACTTTTTCCGACAGATACTTAAGGATAAAAAATGACTCCTCAGTGGCAATACAGACTAGCTCTCCAGAGTCAGACCAGAAGATCTGTAACATGAAATACAAAAATGCAGACAAGTGATTTTGGATTTCTCAGTGGATATGATAAACTGCATATGCTTTGTTCCTTACAAGATTTATCTTCTTATATTAAGATAACACGTGTATATTTAACGATATAGTGTAAATACAAATATGTTTGGGAGGGTGGACAGGGCAGTGTGTTCTAAGAGAGAAAGGCCAGGGAGCTGTCAGCACACACCATCTGTGCTGGAATTTAGAGCAGTGCAGCCTGTTCCTCACTGCTCTACAACAGCGCTTCTCAACCTTTCTTCCCGTATCAACCACCCCATGAAATTTTAATACCACAGATACTATGTACTATGCATATACAGAGAGTGCCAAAAAATGTATACACATTTTAAGAAAGGAAAAAACTGTTATTAAAATTGTAATAATATATAGCAATAACAAAAGATGAATAGAAGTTATGTGTATACACGTGTGTATATGTACCACAGGTGCATATACATACATATATAGTATATATAGAAAACATGTATATAAAAATGATTACTTATGCTTCATAGATATAAAGTAAGTTTTTTCACCCCTTAGGAACCAATTTTTGCCCCCTTTGCTCACTGAGAAGACAAAACCAGGACCTTAGGGAGATAGATTTGTCTCCAAAGATAATTTCCTGAAAATGAAAGTTGTCAAAGAAGCAGGCAGTTCTAAAAATAGTAAATTTTGTCCCTAGAGATGGTTACCTAAAATTTAAACAGCCATTATCAGCTAAAATATGAAAAGGCTTTCTGAACTGAGTGGAAGCTTTCTCAGGCCTTTCCACGTTAAGAACTCCCAGTCTTGTCTTCAAAGCATGCTTTTTTTACTCAGTCAGAAGCCATTTAAAACATGAAAAGTACTTGACCTTTGTACAACTTTTTTATATTTTTCAAAATATCCAACATCTATTTCCTCATTTTCATTCCGTAATTCTGATTTTGTAAGCAACCCTGGGGTAAATGGCGCTGAGTCAACACAATGGAACAGGGACAGTAGGGAACAAGGACACTTCTTGGCCTCAGGGACCCAGAGCTCATTACAAAGATGCACATTCCAAAAACATGGAGGGAACTCACGTGTTTGGGCTGAATTTCAATTCTGCGGATGAGTTCTGTATTGTCCCAGTCATAGAAAGCTAAGCCATTTACAGACCTGACTCCCAATAAGAAGCCTCCATAGATACCTAAGAACACAAAGGTTTTTGTTTAGATACTTTNTTTGTACAACTTTTTTATATTTTTCAAAATATCCAACATCTATTTCCTCATTTTCATTCCGTAATTCTGATTTTGTAAGCAACCCTGGGGTAAATGGCGCTGAGTCAACACAATGGAACAGGGACAGTAGGGAACAAGGACACTTCTTGGCCTCAGGGACCCAGAGCTCATTACAAAGATGCACATTCCAAAAACATGGAGGGAACTCACGTGTTTGGGCTGAATTTCAATTCTGCGGATGAGTTCTGTATTGTCCCAGTCATAGAAAGCTAAGCCATTTACAGACCTGACTCCCAATAAGAAGCCTCCATAGATACCTAAGAACACAAAGGTTTTTGTTTAGATACTTTCTGAGCCATTTACAAGGCTTCTAAAAATGTATCATACACACACACACACACACACACACACACACACACACACACACACACACACACACAATACTCACTTTCAGCTCCAAAATCTGGTTTAAATGATTTTTTTTCCTTAAAGTTCTTAAATATCTTGACCACACTGTTGCTTTCTCTTATTGCATATCTGGGGGGAAAAACAGAAGGCACACAGTATATTATATACTAAACCATAATTCCACCAAATGTTACCAGTATCTTCAAATACATGTGAGTAGTGAATTATGCGAAAATATAAAATATTTGAAGATTCACTAATACAATTTTTCCCTAAGAGATCAGTGAACTCCTTATAGTTGGACAAATAATGAATGGGTTTCACACTACTACACAAATTACTAGGGCTTACAAATTAGTTTAGAAACTGAAAAAGATCCAAATGTCCATTGGTAGGTGAATGATTAAAATGACTGATGTATTCATACAATGGAACACCACTCTGCAAAAAAGGGAACTAATTACTGACCCACGAAAGAATCTCACGGAGATCTCATCCATGAGATCCATGGATGAATCTCAGAAACATTATGCTGCGCAAAAGAAGCCAGACACAGAATATACCGTACAACTCCACTTATATGCAACTGTAAAAAGGACAAGTCTAATCTACATG